AAGGAATTTTCTTTTCTATAAACATAACGCGGTACTGAAAATGAAGAAATCTAATTTTTCTAATACAGAAAATGTAAAAGTACTATTGAGACTCAAGTTCAACTAGCTGAACATAATTTAAGACTGAAAGGAAAAGGTGTGCTTTATCATTCATCAAACAAGTAGAATTTTATGACGAAGTTTCATGAGCTTAGATCTATTTATATCTGTTAAAACATAAAACTTTGCCTAGAGGTTCACCAAATGGTTTTAAACACTGTTAAATCGTTTTTCGGTATATTGTTTTATTTCCATAAAGCTTTTGCTAGTCTTTTGATTAGATCTATCCTACCATTTCAGTGGATGTTTGTAATAAGATTCAGTGAGTTTCGACTCCATCACGATAAGTTTAGTATTTTTGAGACATCAAACTTAGAAGAACATCCAGCTTGAAATTCGGCACGTACATCAGCAACGTGTAGTTGTTATCATATTTTTATCATAAATAACAGTTAGTTGAATGATTGTTTTAATCCCATGAACTAGACTAAATGCTGGTATGCGATTAGAAAGCCATATCATTTTGAATCTCAACGTACACATTACACTGTTAGCATATTCCTTGTACCTTATCAGCTTGTTTATTACACTCTTACTAACTTTTATCTTGTACAAATACACTATTACATCTAAACTGATCCGATGTTCCTCCTTGAATACGGTTGACAGAACATTGATGAACTACAAGGATATAATAAATCGGTAGCTTTCTATCATTCATAATCACCAAATGAAATGCTAATGTAACAGGTCAGCAAAATTCAAAAAAAATATTTAACTATCTTTTTGTAAAGAAAGTTTACAAATAATAATAGCTTTAATTACATTAATTTATTACTTATAAAACATAGATTACAGACTACAGTATTCTTTTGTCATAGAGATATCAGGAAAAATGAGAATAATGAATAAGCATGATTCACAAACGATATAAACAGAAAATAATGAAACAGCACAAAGAGGATTAAAATAATTTTGTATGTGAACTTTATTGTCATAAGCATTATACTGCTTGTTTTGAACAATCAAGATTATGATGAATTTTTCATGTTGGAGCGGTACAAGTAATAAGTCAAGAGTTTATGTTTAAAGTGGTTTTGTTTTACTGACGTAAGAGAAATGTTAAAGTCTCTGAGACACTGAAAGTAGACAGGAGTTAGCACTAGATACGATAGAAATAAGTAACATAAATAATTATTTTGTGTCATACTACTTGTTGTTATTAAGTAGTTCAAGTTTTAACAAACTATTTCTACAATACGTACTTGGGGGATGAGTGAAGCAAACGCGATGTAACATAGAAATTTTCATACTACCATTCTCATATCTCAATCCGTTCACACATCCACAGAATTACTGATTTCATTTTGATTCCCTTAAAAATCAATTTATCCAGGATAATTGATGTTAAATCCAAACCGTAGCTGCTACCTTGATGAGTGGTCGGGTTTGCTTACGGGATTGAATGGAACACCTGTTCTTTTAGGTCCTACCATGTCGGGCAGGCCGACTGGAGAAAGGTAAGACTAAAAACAGGAACTTAGGGTTTGAGCAAAAATCACACTGCTGATTGTAAAAAGGTGTGATAACAGTAAGGTGTGTTCCTCTCCGACAACCGGCATCAGCAGCAATGCTGCCTTCCTACAACGGAAGGGGTTAGAAAAGATCAACCCTGAAAATGTCACACTTCACATCACCTCACAGATATCCGTCTTCGGAGGTAGGGCCTGTTGAAAAGCGGAGCTAACACGGTAAAGCCTCCCATATGAAGACCATTCACGACCGGTCCCAAGCAGTTGTCCCTTAAGCTCTGCGGTCACGCTCCCAGGTAGCTAAAACCAACGTCAGCCCAACTCCCTTTTCACGTTTTTTGTTAAGGAACACCCTTTCACGGTGTGTGCAACCAGGAAGTGAAATCCACTCTCATATCCCTAACATCATACGAGATCAAGCTGTTCACAGCCAAACCCTTCCCCCACCACTTGATAACTATTTTCTCCATGACTAACCTTTCGCAAATATTTTTATCACCTCGTGCCGCTAATGCAAGTAACTGAACTCACAAAATGTTATCCAGAAAGCTTTAAAAACAGAAGTGATTACTGCCAGTAAGGTAAATTAAAAGGTTAGGGAGAAGCAGAGGATGTCGGCAGCATCTACTGAACTGATAGACGCTCGTAAATCTACTCTACCTGGAGCGAAGTCGGCCTAAGCGACGACTGATAAGACTCTGTAATGGTCGCGAAAAATGGTAGGTAGTGAATGCAAAGAGATGCAAAAGGCAATAGCAATAGGTAAGAGTAGGCAGCTACTCAGACTTATCATCGAAATCGGTATTAGGAATCCGGCTGTTAACGAGACTCGCTCGGAAAAAGACGGTACTTTTATTCACTCTCAATGTAGGAGATGGAATCAATGGGCAAAACAAGCTTTTGGGGACGATAGATTCATCGTCTGACTTTTGACAGAAGACTCGCTTTTTGACTAAGATTCTGTCGATGACATCGTTCTACTTGGTGAAGACACTGACAAAATACAGTCTTCTTAACACTTTCAGCAACAAGGCAAGTATGTTCAGGGCGCTGTTTTACCCCTCGAAATCCAATATATTTTTGAAAGATTGTTTCTCGTTGGCACCTGAACTAGTGATAGGGAATGAAGCATTTGGGCGTGTCGACTGCCTCAGTTATCTTGGGAGTCTCATCAGTACTGATCGTCCGGAAAGTGACGAAATCTCATCCATCGGTACAAATGGCTCGATTGGAATTTGCTAACTTGCGTCACTTATGGTGTTGGAGAGATATCCTTTTGTTAACCAAAGGACGAGTCTAATGCTCACCAGTTCCCTCCGACCTGATTTACGGGTGAGAAACATGGTCAATAAGAGTAGAGGATATTCGTAGGTTGCTTGTTCTCGATCATATTTATCTTCAAAGCATTACTCGTGTATCTTCGGACAACCGAATAAGCAATGCTGTGGTTAGGAAAAGGGTACTGGGAAAAAATTGTAACTCGATTGATGGAGTATTGGATGTTCGTCAGTTGGGGTGGTTGCGAAATGAGTTAAATATGCCCAACTGCCGACTGCCTCAACGAGCGATGTTTTGTGGTGTAGTAGTAGGTTGGATAAAAGCTAGGGGCGATCAAAACAAAACATGGCACAAATCCATGAAGTCACTGACAAGTGGAATTAGTCATGTTGATAAGTGTAGACTACCTGGTTGGCGTCCGCGAGACGAAAGTAACCGATGGTTAGAGACTCTCAATACCATGGCTCAAAATCTTTCTAATAGTGCAGACGCATTCTTTGTCTCCCCTCAAGTCCTAATCTTCCGAGTTACTCATGACCTTTCGTTTTTTTTGAAATTTATTTCACTCGGTTACACTCCTCGAATTACATCTTCAATCACTAATCTTTTCAATTACTGCTATGACCTCTATCACTATGGGATTCGAACTGATGATTCCATCTTTCTATGCTAACATGGTATGGCAACTTGAACTGATGTATGCACGTACGAAACTCCACGTTGTAGCTGAATGGTAGAATTGATTTTAATTCGAAACGTAGTCTCTAATTTATTCCGTCACTCTCCAATACGATGTGACATATAATTGATTAAGATGCAAACATAGATATATTATGATGCAAAACAGATAATAGTGATAAAGGCATAATTCGGCAGACCAATCTATGTGCATTCCCTGACAAATTCAAAGGAATGACTGAGTATCTTATTGAATATAGTATACTTTGTTCAACAGAATGCAGATAAATGAGTTTTGAAGGGCACTTTAACACTTTGTAAAACTTCAGCCTAACTGACATGGGATGTAGTGGTATTCAAGTTCATAAATTGATCCATGTAAACTGTCTGTTAGGTGTTCACTTTACATAAACAATTAGTTAAAACAACGAACATATTAAAAAACGAAGTGCCATTTTCATAGCGCTACCATGTGAACTCAAAATTTGGATTAAATTAGATCCTTATAAGCACTTTCATCTTCATATGTTATGAAAACGTTGTCTGATGAAATAGAAACCTTTGGATGCTGAACTTTAAGAGAAAAAGAACTCGGGACACGTATCATTACCGTGCAATACTCTTCAGCATTTAGTACCAAACTACTATTATCCTATGGTATACTTTGAAATATAACCAGATAGTTTTTCATCTTTAGTAATAAAAATATATCATTCAGTGATCAGTTACAGTGTTTAATATTAGGCGTTTGAAATAAACTGTTAGATAGCCCTGAACATGCAGTTCGTGCTAGTTGGTACTTATCAGCAAGGGATTATTTAAGAAACAGTTTGCATTGAAATCGTATAAATTAGGTTACGGTCTCCCTACTTTTTTTACTTTACAGTTACCGGTTTACTGAAAAAACCAATACGTCTTCAGTGACAAACTGAACATATGCGTCATGACGGTATTATCAACCATACTATGACGTTTATACGGCGCTAGTCGGTAGTGGAATTTAAATCTCTGCTGGCAACTGATGAGTTCTGCTACAAGAGGTAACTGAAACAACCAATTAACTCGCTCGCGACCTCAGAGATTTTTAGTGATTTTCAGGAGAAAAATACATTTGATTTCAACTTACAATCCAATGAGCTAGTTTACATGTAGCTGAAAAACGGCGAAAAAATAGTGGATTCACGTATTCTGTAAATATAACCGTTCTTGATTTGTCCGAATACTGACCAGTTCCCGACAGGAAACAAATAGTTATGGTAACACTAGTATGCACCACCTAAATAATATGGAGGCTAACATGGAATACGTTACCTAATAATAAGAAAAACGGGAACATATGAGAACTTATTTCGATGTTAAGGTTAGTCATATATAATAACTTTGAAAGCTATTTGTATAATATTTTAAATATATTAAGACTATTTTAACCATCAGAAACCTAGGTGATGCATACAAATCTTCCTTGGTTGTATTTGTTGTCCAACATCATTAAATCTTGTTTAAAAATAATATCAGTTAAACTCCATATTTGTATGTGTACACTTAATTGTCTTGGAGAGAATAAGCTGTCGAATGAATACACTACCCTACAGCATTTGGAAGGAATCTAAATATAGTTTTTCTGAGTCCTCGCTGTGACCGATTTAAAAATCGACGACATAGTGTATATATATTAAATCTTATATTATACAGATTCAAGAATATACAGGAAGGTAATAATATTGGTGGAAAATAAGTTTTTAGGCTAAAACTAAGATATAAACAATGAATAAGTAAAAATTGCAGAATAAAAATTACAAGTCAATGTATATGAGTACGATCTGGGAATTTTAAGTTTCAGAGATAAAAAAGGCAACATAACAACTAAGTCATATTAATTTTTACATTAATTTGCAATATACACAAACATATCATTCCATAATCAGAACAGACTTCTTTCTAATACTTGTTGGTGTTGAATCATTGAATAATGACATACTCAACGCTTTACGCCATTCTTTGAAAGGAATCTCTTCAAATGGTGATGGTTTAATAAGCTCTTCAGAAAACCATTTTGATAATTGATCAATAATAAGTTGTCTTTGTGATGTAGACTGGCGTAGATTAAAATTAGATAGCCAAAATCCACGTAAACTAATATCTTTAAAAATAAATGGACCAACAGGTAAGGGCATTGGATTCCGAGTCATTCCACCGTAAGTAACCATAATCCCGGAATGATCTAAGTTTTTCACCAGGATTGATGCAGGTTTTCCTCCTAAACAGTTGAGTGCAAGTTTAAAGGGACCTATCTCTTTAGCCCGCTCCAAGTATTCAGACTCTGTGAGACACCAAGTACCTCCATAACTCTTCAGAAGATCACGTGTTTCATTTGTGGCTTCAGGTGTTTCCCTTTCGCGAAACAAGTTCACTAAACGCACAAAACATGAAAAGCGTTAAGGTAAATTACTAAAATAATTAAAATACTTACCTGTATTAAATCCTAATATTTTTGCTATTTGGATAACATATATTCCGACAGCACTAGTTGCACCATTTTGAATTAAAGTATCGCCTTTTTGAAGTTCTACAAAATTATTCAGTAAATGGAGTGCAGTGCTAGGATTAATCGCTAATGTTGCAGCATAAGACATCGGAATTGGATGCTTTATTTTCAAAAATCTGTCAGCTCGACCACACCAATACGTTTGCCATGTTCCTGATGCCAAGTCCAAAGGAATAACTGTATCTCCTACAGCGAAACCATCCACGTTTTTACCACAAGCAATAATCTGATGTGAAAATAAATAATAAGTGATATTGAATGAAGTGTGATATTAAAGCAAGCAAAAAATGAGTTGGATTTGTGTAGACATGATTTTAGCTTCTGACATCGAGTGTACCATCCATTGATACACAAGTGACTGTCGTCATACTAGATATGTTAGGCAGTATGACACAAGGAAATATAATCATATTTCCACAACAGTTCGTTAGAGGACAGTTCCAAATGAATATTTAAATTCCGACGTCCAGTGTGATTCCAATCGGAATCGAGGAGCAAGAGAGTTTAACAAGATTATCTGAATATGAGATAACTGTGTTCATGAAGTATGACTCACTTTTAAGAGTAATTAGTTACAACCTGAAGTAAGGTTGCGTACAATTGCCCTTAAGGCTGCAGTTGTGAGTACAGATGAGAAGCAGTCATAAAAGCAACCTTTCTAATGTTAAACACCGAAATTCGGTAAGAAACCAGGGGTTTTGAGTAAAACCGTAACTCAGTAGTCAATGGATATGGTTAGTAAGTGGCAGATTTGATCTTAAACTCTTTTACTTTGTATTTTTGGCGTTCCAGCAATACCAAAAACTGAAGTTAACTACAATAATGGCAAATAAATTACATGAGCTGGAATTATATAACAAAGTTTATGGATAGATCATAGTGGAATAAACGCAGTAAAAAGATGAGAACAACAAGCAAAGAATTTTTTAAGACTAAAATACATAAATTGCTTTTAATCATTTGTAGCACATCATCCATGAGGTAATAATCATACTTACTTTACCCGCACCTTCATTCCCAGCAACAGCAGGTAATTTTGGTTTTATTGGGTAAGTACCTTGTATTGTGTTGATATCCGACGGATTTATAGGAGCTGCACATACTTTTATCAAAACTTCATCATTTGCAAATGGATGTACTTGGGTAGATGAGAAACGCAAAACCTGTTCTGGATCACCATGTTCAGTGTACGTGATAGCTTCAGAATGAACAAGTCGGCGTAGAATATTCCATTTTTTTGAGTTACAGAGAAAAGATGATCTTAACATACTAATAATGAAGACTAAACAACTACCGGGACTTGTTTATGTCAAACTACAACGAAAATAATTACGATAATTAACAAACATTAGTACCAGTCTCCAAAAATAGAACGTAAATACTAAGCAGTGAAGTCGGTTGTAAAAATAGTGAGATGACAATACACACGCAAAAAAAATGCGAGTACAGTTTGAGTTCTAGACTTAGAATAGGAAAGATTGACGAATATGTTGAAGTCATTGTTTGTTAGTCGCTAAACTCAACACAAAGACACCCAGCAAGAGACCTAGTTAATTTAGTTCGGGATGTTGGATACTAAATATAACCCCGTAAGAAAACAAACAGCTGGGAAGATGAGAGAAAACAAGTTTGAAATTGGCAGTTATCGACTGAAGTAGGTGAACAACAAGTCATAGTATTATTTCGTCCATGTGATCGAAACAGTGATGAAACGTCCGCATTTCACCAAACTACAAGCATAACTTCCTAGCTTTTTCGCATGTTAAGGCACAGTGCACGTGAAATTATCCGCCTACGGCCAAAACGTACTTAACGGTGACGTCAAATCAGTGGTCAGAAGGACTACGAAAATGAAATGCTCAGCTAAAATATACCATATAGTCAAACTGATTCCTCTGTGATTGTTAAAAGATGACTTTTTCCCTTTCTTATAAAATATCTAGCTTTCCAGAGTAAATACTTTTTTACAACAGCATTAACATAATGATACGTTTTATAAGCCTAACTTTTTTATAACTTCTTAACATAGGTATATGAAGCTACACGTGCACAATGAGACGCTCATGATTTCATGAATGCTCGGTCTAGTAAGTTGGCAATTACATACATGTGTTTATAAGATATTGTTTTAGATGCTATATTACGAAAACGTGTTATGGCTAGCAACGAGGGTAAAATTAAGGCAAAACCTTTTCATAACCAAGATTATAGCTAAAATAATTCCTCAGCATTAAGATAACCCTGTTTTCCATTATCACAATCCAAGCGTCCAACATTACGATAGTCATGTGTGAGTCATTACGTCAAACTACTCTTATCTAACACGTTTTACCAATGCTTGTCACGAAACCAGTGGGAGCTGAATAATCTATTAGAATGTTAATATACACATACTGAGTTGAACAACATGTATTTGAAAGTTGTCGATATTTTACTCAAGATAAGCATCAGTCTGAATGTGTAATTGATGTATGAGTACTGCGAAGGTGAAATTATAATTACATTGAAAGGACATGACAAGCATCCAAAGACAATGAAGATATTTCGTACAAGCAACTCAATAGTTAAAAATGCTTATATATTGCTCTAAATTATATAAATTAGATCAGGTGAGCCTAACCAGTAACCCATACCACGTGCAAGGAAGGTTTAAGTTTGAGAACAGGTTCAAATGAACGGAAAACGACTAACATTTCCGCAGGTCTAGTGAGCTCTGTACACATACATATACATCTCTGGAATTACAATTTAAAGTCCAGACGTTGATAAATTCACTTTTTATACAACAATAACAATGATTTTCCCATTATTTCATTATAGTTATAGTAAAACCCGAATGTACTGATCAAATGTACAAGCACAGTCGGACTAATAAATGGACAGATATAAATGCACAGAACTCTATCCGTGTTACTCCATTTAGTATAATCAATCCTTAAGTATGGTCTAAGCAGACTGTAGTACAAGTTCAATCACGAAACATGAATCAATCTATAGTGTTCGGGAAGTTACCCAATGAGGCAAGGAGTCCGCTCTAATAGACCACGTCCCATTGTTCAAAGCCTATAAGTTGAAACATGAGATCATTAAAGACCCAGTTCATGTTAATTCGAGGACAAGTCAACGTCTCAGCTATTATGTTAAGTGGAACAACTGACTGGACCATATACGGTCGATCATGTCTCTTTAAGATATATCTCGGTCCAGTGAAGTTCAGCTGTAGCTAGTCACCTACTAGACTTTTTACAAAATAGCTGCCAGTATTAACCATCGAAGTCGGGAGTCCACAAAGCTGCTGTAAATGTTCGTCAGTCTACCTTGTATACATCTTTTAGATAAAAACAAATCGTTAGTTCTTATTGACAAAGGCAAGCTCACTGAATCCTACAAGTACTACTCGTAGGCAAATGCGGTCCTCCAAGCTGAGATACGCATAGCATTGAATTAAAAGCTGGCAGGTTAAGCTTTTATCAATACGAAAAAATGAAGGACGTACTGGAGCGATATGACGCGAACGATAGTGGAAATCTCGATTCAAAGAAAAACCAAAGATTTTACAAGAAACCTGCTGAAAAGTAGACAATTTAGCTAAATTTCGAACACAAATAGACAGTACGCGATACCGGTACATACAATCTCTCCATGCTGTGTGTCATACAAGTAAAAAACCAACCCCACCTGGTAACGTAGAAGGACAAACCACGCGCTACAGTCCAGTGCATACAATATCTAATATCTTTTTCATGAACTAGTATAAACCAACCGATTTCTTTGCGCTAGATTCTTGTTCTTTCGGTACGGTTCCAGGTTTGCGATAGTATCCAATGAATGAGGTTCTAACCACTAATCAGGGTCCAAATGTTTCGAATGGTTGCGGACACTTTAGAATAAGCTTTCGCTTAACAGGCTTTCCATTCTCATGTCTGTATGCTTAAATGAATGCATGAAATAAAATCATCCTCAAAACCGTACTGGGCTTCTTATTGCCGTCGTCACACAATCGAGGTTTTCTTAAGTATGATATACGGAAATAGAAGCGCAGATTTATTATTCGCCTAAATTGAAGCCAGTCGCCAACTGGAATTCACATGTACCTGGACAGACCATTTGTTGAGAGAATTCAGCGCGAGAGCAAATCGGCTCTGGCCGTTCCACTTTGTGCTGTCAAGTAGACAAAAAAACGGGAGAGCGATAGGGACCATCGACTTGGAAGGCCTTGTGTAGGTAGGTTGCCTGACGATTCACACGAGACTTATTCGAGATAACAAGATAAGGAATTTCATTCGTTTTAAATGGAAGTTATCAAAGAGTATATACTTACTTACTAACGTACTTACTCACTTACTTACTTACTTACTCACTTACTTACACCTGTTACTCCTAATGGGGCATAGGCCTCCCACCAGTTTCCTCCAACCAACTCTGTCCTCGGCTTCCCTCTCCAGTTCTGTCCAATGTTTGTTCATTCCTCTCATATCTTTCTCTATTCCTCGACGTAATGTGTTCCCTGGCCTTCCACTTTTCCTTTCGTTTTGAGGGTTCCATGTGATGGCTTGTCTTGTGACGCAGTTAGGTGCTTTTCGTAGTGTGTCTCCTATCCACTTCCCCCGCTCCTTCCTGTTTTCCTCCTCCACTGGAACCCGGTTTGTTCTCTCCCACAGTACGTTGTTGCTGATGGTGTCTGACCAACAAATCCGAAATATTTTGCGTAGACAACTGTTGATAAACACTTGTATCTTCTGGATGATGGCTTTGGTAGTTCTCCAAGTTTCCGCTCCATATAGTAGAACTGTCTTGACATTTATATTGAAAATCCTGATTTTGGTTTTGGTTGAAAGTTGTTTGGAGTTCCAGATATTTTTCAGCTGTAGAAATGCAGCCTTTGCTTTGCCGATCCGCGCCCTCTCATCTGCATCGGATCCACCTTGGTTGCCGATGATGCTGCCCAGATATGTAAAGGTGTTAATATCCTCCAAGGCTTCTCCATCAAGAGTGATTTGGTTGGTGCATGTTCTGTTGCATCGAAGAATTTCGCTTTTCCCTTTATGTATGTTGCAAATCTCTCACCGTTTTCGTTTCTTTCTCCCAGTCCATGTCGCCCCATGATGTCTTCATATCCAGTGTTGTCCATTCCAACCTTGGCATTCAAGTATCCCATAAGAATCGTCAAATCCTTCGGCGAACATTTCTCGACGATTGACTGCAGCCTGTCGTAGAATTGATATTTAACGTCGTCACTGCAGTCATTGGTAGGTGCATAACATTGGATGATGTTCATTGCAATGTCCTGTCTCTTTGTTTTGAAGGATGGTTTAACGATCGTGGGTCCATGAGATGTCCATGCAATCAGTGCCTTTTGTGCATGTTTGGACAGCATCAGTGCAACTCCTTGTGTATGTGAAGCATTTTCCTCTTCATGACCAGAGTATAACAGCAGTTCCCCTCAAGCTAGTCTCAGTTGTCCTACCTGTGTCCAATGCGTTTCACTGATGCCGAGCACCTCGAGGTTGTATCTTTTCATTTCTGCCACAACTTGAAATAGTCTTCCAGTCTCCCACAATGTACGAACGTTCCATGTACCTAAAAAATGGTTGCTCTGGTTGTCAGAAGAGGCATCGGCCCCGTGACTTACGAGGGAACTTGGCTTTCATCACGCGACGTCATAATTGTTCTTCCAACTCCCAGGGGGGCAGAGTGAAAATGGTTTGAATCATTTTTTTGGTTAGCGTATTATTGGCAAGTTAGTTTTTGACAGAATGGGGTCGCCAACCCCATGGGCAACCCTCCTCCTTTACTCGGGCTTGGGACCTGCAGTATCCCCGAAGGTTCTACTGGCGGAGTTAAAATACATATTGGTGATTCAGTACAAATCTTTTTGCGCATTTACATCCATGGATTTGATATTTGACGAAGTATCGATCAACTGCAGCCTACGTGAATCGAATAGCGATTCATAGAGCTGTAGGGAATCGATACGAATACGGCTATGAGGACATCAGCAGGGATGAACGTCCATAGATACTATCGTTAGCTGTCATGTAACGTATTTAGGAATGACTTACGCCATTCGTAGCGCGTGGTCGAAGCATCGTAGCTTGTGTCTTGCTGCTACCAAACGATACGACAGAAACTTAGGCACCTGTGGCCACCAAGTACCTAGCGCTAGTAAAAAAACCGTGCACGCAAAGTAAACTAACAACCTGAAGGGAAGGTGAGTAGACAAGTGAAAATGGATTGACCTGCAGCTCGGAGTATATTATTACAGCTATGCACATTTCGAAACGTTTTTGCAAGTACAATTTGTATTAAAGGACATAATTATTAGTATTGCTACACTATAAAAATAGTGATAGATGAATAATAGACTCACCGTAATTGACTACTTTGAATAAAAACGTCAGCTCACCAATTTTAGTGGTGACGGAGTCGAGGTTGACTATGATCAGCACTAAATATTAATTAATATCCCGTCACGACAAACAGAAGCAAATGCAGATTGAGGAATATATTTGAAGGAGAAAAAAGGGTAATATATTGAGCAGTAAGTTATGAAGGATGGCAGCAACGCGAAAAAAGAACGTTGGGCGTAGGGGTTTTAAGGAGAATAATGAATGTTTGTCCATTAACTTCGTTTCCTTTATAGAAGTGTTCAAATACAAAGTTGAGCCGTATACTCTTTGATAACTTCCATTTAAAACGAATGAAATTCCTTATCTTGTTATCTCGAATAAGTCTCGTGTGAATCGTCAGGCAACCTACCTACACAAGGCCTTCCAAGTCGATGGTCCCTATCGCTCTCCCGTTTTTTTGTCTACTTGACAGCACAAAGTGGAACGGCCAGAGCCGATTTGCTCTCGCGCTGAATTCTCTCAACAAATGGTCTGTCCAGGTACATGTGAATTCCAGTTGGCGACTGGCTTCAATTTAGGCGAATAATAAATCTGCGCTTCTATTTCCGTATATCATACTTAAGAAAACCTCGATTGTGTGACGACGGCAATAAGAAGCCCAGTACGGTTTTGAGGATGATTTTATTTCATGCATTCATTTAAGCATACAGACATGAGAATGGAAAGCCTGTTAAGCGAAAGCTTATTCTAAAGTGTCCGCAACCATTCGAAACATTTGGACCCTGATTAGTGGTTAGAACCTCATTCATTGGATACTATCGCAAACCTGGAACCGTACCGAAAGAACAAGAATCTAGCGCAAAGAAATCGGTTGGTTTATACTAGTTCATGAAAAAGATATTAGATATTGTATGCACTGGACTGTAGCGCGTGGTTTGTCCTTCTACGTTACCAGGTGGGGTTGGTTTTTTACTTGTATGACACACAGCATGGAGAGATTGTATGTACCGGTATCGCGTACTGTCTATTTGTGTTCGAAATTTAGCTAAATTGTCTACTTTTCAGCAGGTTTCTTGTAAAATCTTTGGTTTTTCTTTGAATCGAGATTTCCACTATCGTTCGCGTCATATCGCTCCAGTACGTCCTTCATTTTTTCGTATTGATAAAAGCTTAACCTGCCAGCTTTTAATTCAATGCTATGCGTATCTCAGCTTGGAGGACCGCATTTGCCTACGAGTAGTACTTGTAGGATTCAGTGAGCTTGCCTTTGTCAATAAGAACTAACGATTTGTTTTTATCTAAAAGATGTATACAAGGTAGACTGACGAACATTTACAGCAGCTTTGTGGACTCCCGACTTCGATGGTTAATACTGGCAGCTATTTTGTAAAAAGTCTAGTAGGTGACTAGCTACAGCTGAACTTCACTGGACCGAGATATATCTTAAAGAGACATGATCGACCGTATATGGTCCAGTCAGTTGTTCCACTTAACATAATAGCTGAGACGTTGACTTGTCCTCGAATTAACATGAACTGGGTCTTTAATGATCTCATGTTTCAACTTATAGGCTTTGAACAATGGGACGTGGTCTATTAGAGCGGACTCCTTGCCTCATTGGGTAACTTCCCGAACACTATAGATTGATTCATGTTTCGTGATTGAACTTGTACTACAGTCTGCTTAGACCATACTTAAGGATTGATTATACTAAATGGAGTAACACGGATAGAGTTCTGTGCATTTATATCTGTCCATTTATTAGTCCGACTGTGCTTGTACATTTGATCAGTACATTCGGGTTTTACTATAACTATAATGAAATAATGGGAAAATCATTGTTATTGTTGTATAAAAAGTGAATTTATCAACGTCTGGACTTTAAATTGTAATTCCAGAGATGTATATGTATGTGTACAGAGCTCACTAGACCTGCGGAAATGTTAGTCGTTTTCCGTTCATTTGAACCTGTTCTCAAACTTAAACCTTCCTTGCACGTGGTATGGGTTACTGGTTAGGCTCACCTGATCTAATTTATATAATTTAGAGCAATATATAAGCATTTTTAACTATTGAGTTGCTTGTACGAAATATCTTCATTGTCTTTGGATGCTTGTCATGTCCTTTCAATGTAATTATAATTTCACCTTCGCAGTACTCATACATCAATTACACATTCAGACTGATGCTTATCTTGAGTAAAATATCGACAACTTTCAAATACATGTTGTTCAACTCAGTATGTGTATATTAACATTCTAATAGATTATTCAGCTCCCACTGGTTTCGTGACAAGCATTGGTAAAACGTGTTAGATAAGAGTAGTTTGACGTAATGACTCACACATGACTATCGTAATGTTGGACGCTTGGATTGTGATAATGGAAAACAGGGTTATCTTAATGCTGAGGAATTATTTTAGCTATAATCTTGGTTATGAAAAGGTTTTGCCTTAATTTTACCCTCGTTGCTAGCCATAACACGTTTTCGTAATATAGCATCTAAAACAATATCTTATAAACACATGTATGTAATTGCCAACTTACTAGACCGAGCATTCATGAAATCATGAGCGTCTCATTGTGCACGTGTAGCTTCATATACCTATGTTAAGAAGTTATAAAAAAGTTAGGCTTATAAAACGTATCATTATGTTAATGCTGTTGTAAAAAAGTATTTACTCTGGAAAGCTAGATATTTTATAAGAAAGGGAAAAAGTCATCTTTTAACAATCACAGAGGAATCAGTTTGACTTGTATAATATCTAAAATTGTAGGCTCGGTAATACGTCGATCCGTGACCAGAGTTCGTAAAGATCTTCGAGAAAACCGTGTTGGATTTCGACCTTGACGTGGATATGTAGACCAAATATTTACTCTTCGTCACTTTCTGGGTTATAAACACCTGTTTTGGCTTCGGTCTATTGTTTATTTTTCTTGTTCCTAATGCTACATTCCACCCTGTAGATATTGAGGTTGTGTAACATTATCTTTCAGGAATTGGAGAACTAACGATCTAAGTTAACCTTATACAGTCTCTATGCCCGAACACTACCGGTCGAATAAGATCTTACGGCGAACTGTCATCGAAATTTATCTCTTCAATTGTTGTACTTTAAGGCTGTCTACTTTTTCCATCCTTGTTTAACTTGGTGGCAGACATGTTTCTAGTGTTAACATTATTTAGTCTGACTTTTCAGGGGTAAACCTTCTTCCCGGATACTCGCTTGTTGACTAAGATTCTGTCGACGACATCGTTCTACTTGGTGAAGACACTGACAAAATACAGTCTTCTTAACACTTTAAGCAACAAGGCAAGTATGTTCAGGGCGCTGTTTTACCCCTCGAAATCCAATATATTTTTGAAAGATTGTTTCTCGTTGGCACCTGAACTAGTGATAGGGAATGAAGCATTTGGGCGTGTCGACTGCCTCAGTTATCTTGGGAGTCTCATCAGTGCTGATCGTCCGGAGTGACGAAATCTCGGCCATCTGTACAAATGGCTCGATTGGAATTTGCTAACTTGCTTCACTTATGGTGTAGGAGAGATATCCTTTTACTAACCAAAGGACGAGTCTAATGCTCACCAGTTCCCTCCGACCTGATTTACGGGTGAGAAACATGGTCAATAAGAGTAGAGGGTATTCGTAGGTTGCTTGTTCTCGATCATATTTATCTTCAAAGCATTACTCGTGTATCCTTGGACAACCGAGTAAGCAATGCTGTAGTTAGGAAAAGGGTACTGGGAAAAAATTGTAACTCGATTGATGGAGTATTGGATGTTCGTCAGTTGGGGTGGTTGCGAAATGAGTTAAATATGCCGAACTGCCGACTGCCTTAACGAGCGATGTTTTGTGGTGTAGTAGTAGGTTGGATGAAAGCTAGGGGCGATCAAACCAAAACATGGCAGAAATCCATGAAATCACTGACAAGTGAATTGACTCATTTTGGTAAGTGGTAACTACCTGGTTGGGGTCCGTGAGATTACAGTAACTGATGGTTAGAGTCCGTGGATGACATGGCTCGGTATCGTTTGCAATGGCACATGTGCATCTACTCTTTGTGTTCCATGAAATCCTAATTTTCTGAATTTTTCCACCTCTATCTTTCTCTTACTAAATTTATTTCACTGAATTATACTTATTGAATAAGTTCTTCGAGCCCTTATCTTCGCTACATCTAATACTTCTACTATCTCAACCACTATGGGATTTGAACTGACCATTGCTTCTCTCTGCTAATGTGGTATGTCAACGTGAACTTATGTACTTACGTACGAAGTTCTGCGTAACTGACTAACTCAGTGCTGTACTTACACCAGCGAGACCACGGGCGGTAGTCGTGTGGTCTCTAGCTCTACTAAGGTTAGACTGAAAAGGTTCTTTATATTGACATGGTGAGGTCAAATCTCGTATGCGCGTCACAGTAACACAGTACACATCAATTGTTCGAGACCATATAGTCCTACCTAAGAGAGCCTGTTGTCCTATTTGGTTCAAGTTTTGGACATTAACGGCTCCAACACTTATTTTAGAGCAGGGTTTCAGGAGACCAGGAATAACGTTGGCATTAGCGGTGTTGGGTGCTAAATTGATGTGACAAGGGTTAGTGGCGGAGATATGAGACATGTTAGTGGGTCTAGGAAGGATTTCATTGCGACCGATCCGATCTCGTGTGCTTTTACGCACATGAGGGCGGATGTCACTTCCCGGCTGCAGGTGTACTAACCCGTGGGAGTTAATGTTGTCTTTAGGATCCGAATTTCGTATGTTGATAACCCAGCTCGAAGAAGTTAGGTCAGAAGTACGAGTTATTTAGCTGATGTCCCTTGAAACAACCTCATATTTAGTATTGTCTTCGAAGATGCAGGAATATTTCTACGGTGCTCGTGGAATTTCGTTAACCTAAGAGTTTACCAAATTCACTAGAGCATTCGGTACAAGACCATGGAGCATTTTACTTTTGACAATGTATTTGGTTTTCGAAAAACTCTTACGAAGAAGTACAACAATAAAAGATGTGTTTTCATCTCAGTTTTATATTTTAACTGGCTCCACTTATTGATTTCATTTGTCTCTAACATTATATTTCCTTGTATGTTATCAATGAAAATAAACGCTTCTTTTATTTAATTGCTTTCGTCTTTCTTATAGCATGGCTGATAGTAGTGATGACGCACCACGAGAAACTTCATTTAAAGAATTTAAGAAAAGAAAGTTATATTTAACAGAAAATCTTAAAAGTGTTTACCAAGACGGTATCCAATCATTAAAGCATAAACATAAACGCAAGAATGACCCTAGATTTGATCCTAGAGTTGATGGTATTTGCTATCTCGATGATTGGGAATTTTTAGAAGATGAAAGAGCGAAAACGCTAAAAGTATGTCACACGTTTTGTTGTATAGTTATTTGATTCCGTTTTGTCTTTACGCTAGGCTTCAGTAAGTATGAATGTAATACGGACTGATACAGTACTTCATTGAGTTACCATGCTACTTAAAGAGTAAATACCAATGAGAACTTATAATACGATTTGGAGAATAAGATGATTTTTAACTGTATTAGTCAATCAAACTGAATGTAGACTCATATGCGCAAATTAGACCTATCTTTAGCAGTGAGTGCCGCGATGTCGCCTGGTAATGTCTATTTTCTGATCTGTCTCTACGTTCAAAAGTTATGATTTAGATATGTAACCGCATGTGGTCTCGTATAGGAATCTGGCGTGTTATTCTACAGGTTACTTGTACAAATTTTACAGGATAAGAGAAACAAACTAAAGAAAGATTAGTATCAGTAGCAGCAGGGAAGAGTTACCGTTGCCGTGAGTATAAATAAAGCATTCTCAACCGAGTGAAGTAGTAACTTAAAGTTGCCAGTTTAATGGTTACTGTTGTGATAATGCTGTTCACATCGTAATTCCTCAAGATACTTGTACTTGAAACCCTTTGTTAAGATAAGTACTATTTAAAAACAATACATCGAGAAATGAATTATTTAGTGAAAATATCATGGTTATTTCCCATTCGATCTCATATGTACGCTGGTCTCGAATATTTGCTAGCTCTGAACCTGTTAAGATCCTTTAAAGACTTTATGTAATAATACCAAATACCATGTAAGTGTGATAAATTTTGCTGAAATATTATTTCCTAATATTTCTATTTATAGAATGATTGCTATCATAATTAATTGGCTGTATCTTGTCCACTTCATCGACTTCTGTTACTTTCACAAATAAATATCGATCAACTAATTGTTGAAAATGATTTCATTTTATTTCCAAGAGAAAATCCACGGCCCCAAATCATCACACCCCCAACGAAAGCAACTTACATTTTCCACCTTAATCATCTGACTATTTAACCTAATTTATTGTAATTGAAAAGCAATTTATTAAGCACCAAACCTATTATATATCTCAAATCTGGTACATTTTTCACCATGTCAGTAACTATACATCCTAAATGTTCTTACTGAAATATTTATTTGCTTTTTACCATCTGAACTTGTTTTTCAAAACTAGAAACTGAAAAAAATGCTTCGCCAAAATGTTGATTCGGACAAACGAAAGGAAGTGTCCCTTGCGTTACGTTTGGTAAGACAGCGAATGGCAACAGAAAAAGATAGAAAATTCCGTAAACAATTCATGGATAAATTTCAGAAGGAACAGATTGACAACTTAGAATCAGGGAAATCTGTTCGTTTTATTCCTCGAGGTAAGCAAAAATACATTACTTACTAAAAACCCCAAAACGCGCATAGTTCTCAGACATTTTATTCTCATGGTTGGTTGCCATATTTGTCTTTTCTAAAAGCTACAAGTGTGCATATACTAAAATTGCTATACCTAAAAACGTACCGACGTAATTAGTTTGTATAAGTGGACTGAGCGATACCTATAGTAAAGCCTTTAAATAATAATAAGAACTTTGTGAATGTAGGAAGAATGACATCTCTCTACATGCTTGTCTCAAACATTGATAAGCGTCTTTCATTTTCTCACAATTTAATGGTTTTGTAGGCATTTTGAAAAACCTAAATAAAATGAACCAGTTCATCAATTTACTGAATACTCTATTTTTATCTCATAATATCTTGAACTTGTATAGAAAACATACATTTTGACGAAATCACTGTTTAGCTGAATGCTACTGATAAAAAATTAGTCAAAAATGCTTAACACACAGTTATCCGATTGAACTTGGGTTCAGATTATTGCCAGTTAATTTTCATCCTTGATGATGTGGATATATTCTTCACCCTAACGCTTCTCTTTTCAGCACTTCTACCTCAGTCGTTGTCCTGTTTACGCAATTACTCGTGTACACATATCATATTATAGTAATGGCTATCATCCGAATCCTGTGTCTGTCAATCAGTCAGTTACAACGTAGAACTTCGTACGTACGTACATCAGTTCGAGTTTCCATACCATATAAGCACAGAGACGCTTTGGTCAATTAAAATCCCATAGTAGTAGAGGTAGTAGAAGTATTACTTACTTACACCTGTTACCACCAATGGAGCATAGGCTGCCGACCAGTATTCTGTCCTGAACTTCCCTTTCCAGTTCTTTCCAATTTTTGTTCGTTCTCATATCTGTCTTCACTTCTAGGCGTAACGTGTTCCTTGGCCTTCCTCTTTTCCTTTCACCTTGAGGGTTCCAAGTAAGGGCTCGTCTTGTGACTCGGTTGGATGCTTTATGAAATGTGTTCTATCCACTTTCAGCGCATCTCCCTGATTTCCCCCTCCGCTGGAATCTGGTTTGTTCTCCTCCACAGTAGGTTGTTGCGGATGATGTCTGTCCAATGGATCCGAAGTACTTTGCGTAGACAACTATTAATAAATACTTGTATTTTCTGGATGATGGCTTTGGTAGTTTTCCAAGTTCTTGCCCCATACAGTAGAACTATCTTGAAATTTGTATTGAAAATTCTGACTTTGGTGTTAGTTGACAGTTGTTTTGAGTTCCGGATGTTGTCCAATTGTAGAAGTGCAGCCCTTGTCTTCTAGATCCACACCTTCACATCTGTATTGGATCCTCCTTGCTCGTCAGTGATGCTGCCAACATATGTAAAGGTTTTTACGTCATCCAAAGTATCCCCATCAAGAGCGATTTGGTTAGCGCATGTTATGTTGTATCGGAGAATCTTACTTTTCCCTTTGTTTATGTTGAGATCTGCTGCCTATGCTGCTGCTACACTGGTCATCTCTTGCATTTGTTGTTGAGTGTGTGGAAGAAGAGCCAGATCATCTGCAAAGTTTAGATCATCCATCGGTGTCCCGGCTATCCACTGTATACCGTGCTTCTCTTCAGATGTCGACGTCTTCATAATCCAGTTGATCACCAGGAGAAAGAGAAAGGGTGAGAGTAAGCAACCTCACCTGACACCGGTCCTCACCTCGGACGAGTCCGTCAGCTGTCCTTGATGCACGGTTTTGCAGTCTAATCCATCATAAAAATTCCGTTGTGAGTGCTGTTCAATTGATTGTTCCACAGTGATCCGTAATGTTACAATCTGGTCGGTACACGATCGATCCTTACTAAATCTAGCCTGTTGGTCTCGAACTTGGACGTCCATTGAGTCTTTCATTCGGCTTGACAACATCCTGTTGAAGATATTTCCTGGTGTTGAGAGAAGAGTGATGCCTCTATAGTTCTCACACTTGCTGAGATCGCCTTTCTTTGGTATTTTGATGAGGTATCATTCTTTCCAGTCTGTTGGTACTTGTTCTTTCTCCCAAATTTTGTTGAAGATAATGTAGAACATTTTTGTAGTTGCTGCCACGTTTGCTTTCATTGCCTCTGCTGGAATATTGTCTGGTCCTGCTGATTTGCCGCTCTTGATTTGTCTGATGGCCATGCTGATCTCTTCGATTGTTGGTGGGCCAACATCGATTGGGAGGTCCGTGCATACTACTTCGGTGTTGGGTGGGTTAAGTTGAGCTTTGCGAATCTCTCAACATTTTCGTTCATTTCTCTCAGTCCATGTCGTCCCATGATGTCTTCATATCCATTATTGTCCATGCCAACCTTGGCATATAGGTCTCCCATTAGAACGGTCAAATCCTGAACGGCTCCAGGCCAGTCGCCACATAATCAGTAGGTAGTTGTTTGCTTATCCTTACTTCTAGTTTTTTTCAGCTTCTTAGAAATACCATGGGCAATACCACAGTTTATATGTTCAATCAGTCTCATTGTCGTATTTGATATTTTGCAGCCGTTTACAATCATTTGTTAGTGTCCTGAGTGCAACATTTAGGTCCTGATCCAGTCGAGCTAAAAGTAGGATTCTAATCTCATCATCTTGTTCTGAATGAAGACCTTTGATGAATACCAAACATCTAAATCGTTCATACTATCTGTTAACAAAGTCTGCTGGAGCATTATAATTACTGGCTTCACGTCTCACCTAATTAAGACACTGATATCGAATACTTAACAATGAAGATGATTCACCAAATATACCTGAAAGTTAGATTACCGTCTCCTCGAAACTGAGCTCTTGAGGTAACCGTGACAGTTTATGGTCAGCATAAGGTTGTGCGTTTTCATTGCTTTCCAACTTGCTCAGCAACAACCGAGTCTACCACGCATCATTTTGTTTGCAGAATTCTTTTCTAAACATATCTTCCTAACGCTTGAACTACGTGGTGAAGTTTTTTCTACTTTCAGGATCATAACAGAATTCTAGGATTTTGTTATCAACCGCATCACAAGTAGCCAATGACATGGTGTCTAAAATCGAGTAGTGTATGTTTAGCTGTTACATAAGCGTTTATAACAACCGCATTTGTGCATCAAGTTGTGCTGCTGTTGTAGAATTTAGTTAAGCTGATAATTTAATCGTCATTTTCATTTTAAAAACTTTTGTCTCATTGACATAAACATATAACGTCTAGACACTTAGTATTTCGTTCAAGTTATTATACGTCTTATATATATATCCATGTTCTTTTTGAGTTTTTAGGGTTATAAGTTGCTAACTTTATCATAGTCTTTTGTTGATTTTTGGTTGCTCTATCTTTTTGACCATTGAGTATTACTGATCAAGTCTTTATTACTTCTGGTGGCACCCAAAATGATTATTTTACTAAATTAACTAAATCTAGGGAATGGAGATACTCGTATCCTGATTTAATAGGTAGATAATATTGTGCTCGTAGCAGAAAGCGAGCACTTTTAGTTGAATTTTTATTCGGGAGTCTCAAACTAGAAAATAATGACTGTCAAATTCTTCCTGGTGCAGTTCTTTGTAGTAGAAATAACTTTCGAAAATTGTCTTTTTCCTAGAACCATATTCTGTTTTTGCTAGACGACAAGTCAATTTAACAAATTAGTTGTATGTCAGAGCTATCTCGTGCTACTGAATAACTCTTTTTAAAAACTAATTTATTTTTCAAAATTTTCAGCGGAGCTCCGTAAACTCGTTCAAAGTGAACGTTTGGCAAAAATGAGCAAACGGCAAAAGGAGCGATATTTGAATCGAAAAAAACGAAGATTTACTTCGAATGATGCATAAATCCATTCATATTCTCTGCATATAGTTTTTCTATGATACCTTCGAATTGTGCCTATAAATCACCGTCAGTGTGTAAATAATTTGTCTTGTTTCAACAATGCTGTGTTCTCTATCCTCTTTATCGATATCTGGTTTTTGTGTCTATACTCTGTACTACCAAACTTCTTTTGTTTAGAAAAATTCATATAGTATCGGTAACTTTCTGGCGATTAAATCACGTTGAGAGTACTGGATTCAAAACTTCGAAGTAAATTGATATAACGCTCTCTTATTAGTTCCCAGCTAATTCCTATTGCTTAGTATTCTCTGACAACAATACACTCTACAAGTCCCGAAATCAGAACACGGTGGAACAGGAAAAGATAATATTCCAAGTAGCAAGGTTAAATGGAAATAGGAAGCGAAGGCGAAATGGAAACAACATTAGTATCTTCTAAAATGTAATCTACGTGATTGACTAGCACTGACCGGATTAGATTTGGCCAATCAGCGCGCAGCTAGCGCAGTCCTGCTTTAATTCATGTATGTCCCACTAACATAAATAATAATGGATATTTACATAAAATTTTACCACATTATAATTGAACTTTTGGACAGTGTCTTCATGTGTATTCCCAGTATTTCCAAATCCATTTAATCAATAAATTATGTACTGTGTGATTCTATTTCTACCATTCTTTAAATCTACTAATTATTATCCTACACTAAAATTAGTTTTTCTGGCCTGATGTCTGAATCCAATTTTTACGGACAAGTGAATATGATATGAAATAAATCTTTCCATCTATCATTCTTGGACAATCTCTTCTCGTCTTATCGCTTATTATATGAACAACAGCGATTACTGTCAGCTTGGTCAAGACTACAAAATTTTTTTATTGTTTTCATTTCTTAGTCTTATACCATATCGAGTACATCATTTATCAAATTATATGATTATATAGAGATTCCCTATTTTTCTCATATCAGATATAGCCACATTTATACATTTGATATCTTAACACTTCATCCCAAAGGCTGCATACACACTACAATTAATCTCACTTTGTACATTGTTAACACGATTAAATGAATTGTTTAGCCTACAGATAATCAGCGAACCGTGTATTTATACTTGATAATTTCCTTGAAGAAGCTTGGAGCAGATTATTGAGCGAAACGTTGAATTCACTTACAGTTCGATCGCACACTCTTACTAATATAATTTTCCTCTTTAAGCGAACAGTATTGTTGGCATCAAGCTTTACTGTAATGTTCATGTATATTTCTTGATAAAATTATACCAATCAAGGTAATTAATGATCACAATGAAGTAAATTACATGAATACACATAATAGGCAACAGTTTTAGTCGTGATAAGAATAATAAAATCACAAAAGTTCTAGTCTGTGGTTCAGCATCAGAAATATGAGGTCACATTCAGATAAATAAATAGTAATCACAAATCGACGATACGATTACATAATTAGAGCTGTGTAAATTGTGAACTTATACACAAAGATTTTCCTGTACTTAAAAAAAACAACGATGACTATTTGTCCAGAGAACATCAACTAATAAGAGTTGTAGAAACCACCTGCAAGAAATTAAGCATGTTAACGGGATTGGTCACTTGGGTACGCAGATCGTGTTGATAATGTTTTGATACCTTTATTTTCTTCGACTAAAATGAGTAATCTATCCACTTATACCAACATAATAGAAAATCGGGGAATGAAGGATGGAGTTACTAGCATTGATCAACTGAAAACTAAATGTTAAATGCCAGTTGCACGGAAAAGGCTAGGATTGATTATTTCTCGGCTTTTAATAGCTTTCAAAGTAAATGTGATAAAATGTGTTGTTTGTTGATGTCAGTCAGTTACAACGTAGAACTTCGTACAAAAGTGCATCAGTTCAAATTGTCATACCACATTAACACAGAGATGTAACTGTCAATTCAAATCCCATAATAGTAGAGTTAGTAAAAGTATTAGAAGTAATCGGAGTGATGAGGGTTCGAAAATATTATTCAAGAAGTAGAATCTAGTGAAACAATCTTAAAAAGGAAAAGATAAAAAAGATGAGGAATTCAGGTTGATATTTGAGGAGACACAAGGAAGGAGTGCACCTGAGTCATTGCAAACGCTTTCGAGCCATGTCATTCACAGCCTTTAACCATCGATAACTATCATCTTGAGGACCCCAAACAGGTGGTTGAAGACTATCGATATGACTCAGTCCACTTGTAAATGACCTCATGGGTTTCTGCCATGTTTTGATCTGGCCGCCCCTAGCTTTCTTTCAACCTATTCCTACACCACAAAACATTGCTCGACGAGTTAGTCAGTGGTCCTGTACTCTTAACGGCCATGTTTCGCATCCGTATAGCAGGACGGAGTGAACTGTTACACGGTACACTCGTCCTTTGGTTAGCAAACAGATATCTGGCCTGCGCCAAAGGTGACGCAGGTTGGCAAAAGCCAATCGAGCCTTCTGTATCCGTGCTGAAATTTCGTCAGTTACCAGGCTATCAACATTGATGAGACTCTCCAGATAAGTGAAGCAGTCTACACGTTCGACAACTTCACTCCCTATCACTAGCTCTGGTGAAGCCACAAGCCAATCCTGAAGCAACATTTTGCATTTCGAAGAGGAAACCGCATCCCAAACATGCTTGCATTGTTGCTTAGGGTAGTCAGAAGACTCTGCAATTTGTCATCGGCATATTCTAAGTCAGTAGGAGATTTTCCTGATAGAAGGTCGACTCCTCAAAATTTGGACGAAGATAATGTTATATCTAGCAGCATGTTTACGACAAAAACTATCAAGAATGAGGAGAGTGGACATCACTGACGGACACCACTTGAAGTAAAGAATTCCAATGACAGTTTGTCATAAGCTTTAACTCGACCTGTAGTGTTCGGGTAGAGAGCTTGTTTAAGGTTAATGTACTTCTTTGGTACACCTTTCCACTACAGACACTGCCACAGAGCTTCATGATCTACAGAGTCAAATACCGCCTTAAGGTCCAGGAAGACTACTATTGTCGGACGCCTAAATGTGCCTGTGTTCCAAGACCTGTCGTAGTGTGAAGATGTGGTCTACACAGCCACGTCCAGGCCGAAAACCAGTCTGGTTTTCTCTAGTCTGCTCTTCACGAGCTTACGTTAAGCATCAAAGTATTATTGAGGCCAATATTTTAGATACTTTATTAGTTAGACTGATTCCTCTGTGATTGTCACAAGAGGACTTTTGTCCTTTCTTGTAAATTGGGACAATTAGCGACTGAAACCAGTCTGATGGGATTCTGCTAGTTCCCAGATTCTATCTAAGATCTCGGTCAATCTGACTGTTAAAACTGGACCATAATCCTTAAGAATCTCAGGGGTCAATCTATCAGGACCCGCTGCTCGACTGCGCTCCAGATTTCCTAACGCAACACATGTCCCAACCACCTCAACTGATGAAGTTTCAATACTTCATATATTGACCTGTCATCCTTAACCAGCACCAGTTTCCTAACAACAGCATTCATTACTCTGTTGTCCCATGATACACGAGCAATGCTTCTAAGACATATGTGATCGAATACTGGTAACCTACGAATATCTTCTACTCTTACCTGCCATGTTTCGGATCCATATAAGAGAATGGGGCGAACTACTGCGTAGTACACTCGTACTTTAGTTAGAAAACGGACGTCTCGCCTGCGCCATTAGTGACGCAGGTTGATAAAAGCTAATCGAGCTTTCTGTATCCGTGCTGAGATTTCATCAGTCACCAGGCTATCAGCACTGATGAGACTCCCAAGTTAAGTGAAGCGGTCTACATGTTCAACTACTTCACTCCCTATCTCTAGTTCATGTGCCGATGCAACCCAATCTTGAAGTAATATTTTGCTTTTCTAGGGGGAAAGCCGCATTCCCAACATGCTTGCATTGTTGCTTAGGTTAGTCAGAAGACTGGGTTTTATCAACGTATCCGCCAAGTAGAACTATATCATTAGCATATACTAATCCAGAAAGCGAGTTTCCTGATAGAAGGTGCACTCCTGCAAAGTCAGACGAAGATGATGTTATATCTAGCAGCATGTTTATGACAAAATTGAACAAGAATGGGAAAAGTGGACATCCCTGACTGACACCACTTGAAGTAAAGAATTCCAATGACAGTTTGTCATAAGCTCTAACTCGACCTGTAGTGTTCGGGTAGAGAGCTTGTTTAAGGTTAATGTACTTCTTTGGTACATCTTTCTACTACAGACACTGCCACAGAGCCTCATGATCTACAGAGTCAAATACCGCCTTAAGGTCCAGGAAGACTACTATTGTCGGACGCCTAAATGTGTCTGTGTTCTAGGACCTGTCGTAGTGTGAAGATGTGGTTTTTGCAACCACGATCAAATCGGAAACCAGCCTGGTTTTCTATAGTCTGCTCTTCACGAGCTTTCGTTAAGCGTCGAAGTACTATTGAGGCCAATATTTTAGATACTTTATTAGTTAGACTGATTCCTCTGTGATTGTCACAAGAGGACTTTTGTCCTTTCTTGTAAATTGGGACAATTAGCGACTGAAACCAGTCTGATGGGATTCTGCTAGTTCCCAGATTCTATCTAAGATCTCGGTCAATCTGACTGTTAAAACTGGACCATAATCCTTAAGAATCTCAGGGGTCAATCTATCAGGACCCGCTGCTCGACTGCGCTCCAGATTTCCTAACGCTTTCTCAACTTCATTAAGACTAGGGAGACTTATGTCGATTTGCCATTCAGGATGACTGGAGATCGTGGGTAACCGAAGAGTGGCTCGAGGCCAGTTGAACTGATCTCTAAAGTGTTCTGCCCATCGATCCAGTCTCCTGGATTGAGAATGAATAATAGTTCCATCTTTTTCCGACTTAGTCTCACTCACATTCGGGTTCCTAATACCGTTTTCCATGATAAATCTTAATAGTTGCCTACTTTTACCTAGCACCGTTACCTTTTTCTATCTCCCTTGCTTTCGACTACCTAGTTGGG